CTCCTACCACTACAAATCAAAGGACCACAACTCTCCTTCCCCATTAGACTACTCTACAATCCATAGCAAGTTACTGTGAAGCCTGGACCCAACCAAACATTAGTTCAACTTCGACTCCCCAGTAGAGCAACGGACAACTAAGGCTCCTGAACTCTTTTCCCCAAGCAAGAATCAACACTCTCCATAGAGTTTTCAATATTCCCCAGCGGAGTTCTCCTCAAAACAACAAAACAGGAATCCCCGATGGAAACATTCTAAGCAAAGTTTGAAGACACACCTACTCTTCAACAGCAGTCCGGGATTTATTGACTCCCTAACATTTGTCAAGGATTTATTTTCCCAGAAAAAAATACATTCATTAACATTTCACACATGATAAGTGCATACGACACAATCTCATTTATTTTGAGAACATCATGACACCATGCATTTCATACATCATGACATTGCATGCAGCTAACGTTTTACCTTTTTCAGGAAAAGGTCAATCAACAGATGGCTACCATAAACCATTTTCAAGTTCCAGATTAATACCTGTAACAAGTCAGGAATTTATCTATAAGACCGATTGAAGCAACCTTACACAGGCTCCTTCCATTTCCAAGATGAAGTTTTACACGAACTCGTCATGAAGCAGCCCTACACAGGTTCCTCCTATTTCCAAGATGAAGTTTTACACTGACTCATCATGAAGCAACCCTACACATGTTCCTCCTATTTCCAAGATAAAGTTTTACACTGACTCATCATGAAGCAACCCTACACAATTTCCTCCTATTTCCAATATGAAGTTTTACACGGACTCGTCATGAAGCAACCTTACACAGGTTCCTCCTATTTCCAAGATGAAGTTTCACACGGACTCATCATGAAGCAACCCTACACAGGTTCCTCCTATTTCCGAGATGAAGTTTTACACTGACTCGTCATGAAGCAACCCTACACAGGTTCCTCCTATTTCCAAGATGAAGTTTTACACAGACTCATCATGAAGCAACCCTACGCAGGTTCCTCCTATTTCCAAGATGAAGTTTTACACTGACTCATCATGAAGCAAATCATGAAGCAACCCTACACATATTCCTCCTATTTCCAGATACAGCTTTACACAGACTCATCATGAAGTAATCCTACCCAGGTTCCTTCTTAGAAAATTCCAGATGCAGTTTTACACGGGCTCATCATGAAGCAGCCCTACACAGGCCCATCATGAATTGAAGAATATTCATATCCCTTCCGGTTCAGCTTAAATCTCTCAACGGTTTATTCTGATTCTTTCCCGCAGATGATTCCCCTGGTTCAGATAAATCTTCCAACGATTTAATCTAATTCTTCTCCAGATCCCTGCCGGTTCAGTTTAAATCTCTCAATGGTTTATTCTGATTCTTTCCCACAGACGCTTTCTCTGGTTCAGATAAATCACTCAAAGATTTACTCTAATTCTTTCCAGTTAAAGAATATTCAAGATCTATTTTGGTTCAGTTTAAACCCCTCAATGGTTTATCCTGATACTTTCCAAAGGAACACTTCGGGTTCAGATAAATCTCTCAACAGTTTATTCTGATTCTTTCCCATAGACGCTTTCTCTGGTTCAGATAAATCGCTCAAGGATTTTACTTTGATTCTTTCCAGTTAAAGAATATTCAAGATCTCTTTTGGTTCAGTTTAAACCCCTCAATGGTTTATCCTGATACTTTCCAAAGGAACACTTCTGGTTCAGATAAATCGCTCCAAGATTTATTCTTCCCAATCAAACAACATATAAAACTTATTCTAGGTCAGATAAGTCGCTCCAAAGATTTATTCAGATTTTTTTCCAGTTGAAATCAAGTTTAGACTTAGTCCATTCTCTGTTAACAGTCACCCTTAGATGGCATCTACAAGCCCATCTCTGGCAAATCTCCATCGTTCTTCCAAATGGCATCTATAAGCCCATTCCCATTTCATCTTCGAGTGCAAATTTCTGGACACTCTAGTGTCCAATCATCTTCCACCTTCAAGTCACGAATGGCGGATCCGCCAATCTAACTCTTCAGGTTTAAGAAGATTGAACAGGGGTAGCTGTTGTACCCCAAGATTTTCCCTCACATTTATCAAGCATTTTCTCACAAAATCTCCTTTGGTTCAAGACTGTACAAGGATTGATCAACTCAAGACACCTCCTTAAGCACTGATGAGTGAAATTAGGGTTTAAGATTTCACAAAGGTAATTGAACTTTTAATGCCTCATATTGAGGAAACTTGCTAGTGAAGTTAGGGTTTTTGTTAAGAACAAAAACACTTAGAACTTTTCTAAGTGTTAGAATTTTTTCCAAATTTTACTTTTGTTGACTTTTTGATTTCTTGATGATAAAGTTTGATAGTTTTGACTTTTGAATTTCAATGTTGACCAAAAAGTCAAAGTTTGACTTTTGAATGACTGTTGACTTTTTATCAGTTGTTTCAATTTTTCAACTATCAATCACTTGCATCTTTGGAAATGTCTTGAGCCATATAATTAGGTCAAGATGTTGTATTGAGTCCTTAAGATCATGCTTCAAGCTATTAGGTCGTGCACTAGGTCAACAATCAATGATCAGTCATCTTCAGTCAAAACCCTAATTTTGACAATTTTGACCTTTGATGATTTGAGGGTTTTCCTTGAGGAATCATGGTCAATCCTTGATCAAATGCTGAATATCACCTCAAAATGTTGATGTTGACAAAAAATCTTGAAGTTTGACTATACGTTGACCATAATTGATTTTTTACCCAATGCAGTTGATTTTCAGTCATTTGAGCAATTGACTGGGCGAATTTGTGATGCAAGGCTTGAAACTTGACATGTGAATTATTGAGGACCTATGATGAACCATGAAAGTCATTTGAGGCATTGGAAATCCAACTTCCCTTGAGAAAACCAAAATCCTAGTTACAAACTTATTGCTTAGGAGAATAATTTTGGCCAGTCAACTCTTGAGTAGTTTTGAGCAAGTGAGGACCTCATGAGAATATTTTGAAGAAAATTGGAGGACAAATTTTGGGGTACAACACATGTCATCTCTCTTTTTGTCCATCTTCACCACCTGCACATAACTAGTGTCTTGCACACGGAAGTTCCTTACATATCTCTCCTTATTTTCCTTTCTCCTGAAAGTCTCTCCGCTTTGACAAACACCCTTTAGCTCCCTTACTTTTTCCTTTCTCATAGCATCACCATTCTCCCCTCCTCGCGTTCACACTCTTATTGTAATGTTCATTACCCGATGAAATCTAGAGACGTTTGCTCGTACTTTATGCGTTTTGAACCATATCTTTCTGAGTTAATCCTCCAAATTTTGTTCATCTCTTATTCCTGCAAACCTTGTAAAACCGAACAATTTCCCTTCCTTATTTTTCTTTTGAGGAACATAAAGATCTACTAAATCACCATTTCGCACAAATTTTCTTATGATCTCTAACAATGCAATATCTTTTGGAAAACTAGTAAAATAGCATGTCGTAATATCCTTATTTCCACCGTTCTTGTCCCTCCCCTCAATTTCCCATAGCTGAAATTGAATTGGATTGGATGTGATTTTAATTTTAATTTTTTTGGAAAAAAATGTGTGATTTTAATTTTGTACCAATTCAAATCATAACGCAAATAGTATCAAAATAAAAATTCATTATTGTTAAACTAAAAACTGATTCTTTGTGAATGAAATTTGTTTGATAAATAATTAATTTATCTGTTTTTGATAGATTCACCAAGTAGAATTATCGAGAATTCAAATTTACTTAGTTGAATCGTAACTACTCTGTCCAAGTCCCCAATCCCACTGACAATATGAATAATCAGAACACAGAAGGGCAAAACCGCCATTAAAAAAATTCCAATCCCGTTAATCAGGAAAACAGAAAGCCAGAAGTAGAAGCCGTTGCTAGACTGGTTGCCATCGGATTAATGAAAGAACAAGACACAGTTTTCAGACTCATTATTGTTACTCATACCACCTGTTAACAGCGACAACATATTTAATTTTTCTGTCCCCACAGAGCTATGTAAAACCGACGGTTTCGATTTCTCCGTCAGACTCAATCACAACCGTCCAAACATTCCACCCTTGTCCACATCATCAATATCAAAACTAACTAAACGACACTACCTTTTCATCTTATTTTCGTTTTTGCCCCTATCCAGTGAGAATAACTTTTGGCTTTTCCGTCTTAACACTCCCTCACAACACTTCATTCATTTCTAAAATTTCTTAAATTTCTAAAACCTTTTGTTGCTTTCTGCTTAATGGAAGGAACTTAATCTTCTCTCTCTAACTCACTCTTTCCTTCTTTCTTTGTTCTAAGCATTTTTTTCTGTAAGTGCTTTTTTAATAATCGATTTTCTTCTTGTTTGATCTACCAAACATTCCTTAGGTAAGTGCTTTCTTTAACTCCTCTTTTGTTTCCGCTTTTTCTACTGGTAGTGTGAGTTTTTTTATTGGATTTTTTTCAGTAAGGGTTTTGTTTTTCTGCTTGGATCTATGGAGCTGCTTCAACGAAATTCAACCTTGCTATTTTTGATGCATGCTATGTTATTATTATGATAATATAATAGTTGATAAGCTGATTATGTGTGAAGTTAATTAATTAGTTAAGTGCTTATTTGAAGAGTTGATTATGTGTCCTAATGATCTGTTTCTGTAATAATTGTTTATGTTTGTTCTTAATTCTTAGTTAACTTCACGCATGCATGTTTTTTTATGGAAAAAAAATTTAATCCCATGTCACTATTCACTGATTCTCGTTGTTTCAATTTGTTACTAATAATGGCGTGATCTTGATGATTCAGTTTTTTTTTTTTAATTTTTAATTTTTATATTTCTAATTAGTGTTGTTAATGTTATTTTTATATTTTAGTAAGTTTCGTGTGTTGACTTTGGTGTTTTGGTATTGGTTTAATTTTGATTTTTCTTTTTTTTTTTTTGGGTGTATTTCGGTGGCAGATTGTGTAGTGAACTGTGGTTTTAAAGTTTGTTAGTGGGATGTCTCCTGGTGTGGTTGTTACGGAGGAGGAAGGGCGGAGCAAACTGTCATCGACGGCGGTTTCTGCTTCTACACAATGCTTAGACCGATTCTCTCAGAATGGTGTTGTTGATTTGAAGGAACGGAATTACCTGGGGTTGTCGGATTGTTCATCAGTGGACAGTTGTGATTCATCTCTTCCAAGCTTGTGTGGTGAGAAAAAGGGGAATTTGAATTTGAAGGCTACTGAGTTGAGGTTGGGTCTTCCTGGATCTCAGTCACCTGAAAGGGATTTGGATTTTTACTCAACAAAGCTTGATGAGAAACCACTGTTCCCTTTGCTTCCTGCTAAAGATGGAATGCAAAAGACTGTTGTTTCGGGGAATAAGAGAGGGTTTGCTGATACCGTGGATGGGTTTTCTCAGGTGATTAGGTTAATAGAGTTGGTTTATGTGGTGAGAAATGCATGGTTTGTGTTGCTGTTGAGCTTGTTTATTTACAATATTTGTTTTGCAGGGGAAGTTTAATGTTAATACAGGGATTAACGCGATGCTATCGCCTAGACCTGTTGGAGCACAGCCTAACACCGTGAAAGAAGTGCCGAGTAAGGTGTTGCAGGAAAGGCCTTGTGCCGCTAGAGGAACTGGACTTAATCATGCAGGTGCTGCATCTATTGGTACACAGCCTCCAGCTTCTAAGTAAGTTAAAGCTATCAGTCTAAAGATCTTAATTTTAAGTAGCTGGAAAAACACGGATAATTGGGTTTTCTATATTTCTTTGTTTTTATAGCTATCCTAATTCTAATATGGTAAATTCTCATATGTGACAGGGCACAAGTTGTTGGTTGGCCTCCTATAAGATCATTTAGGAAAAACTCCATGGCCACTGCTTCCAAGAACAACAATGATGAAGTGGATGGAAAACCAGGTCCCACTGCACTCTTTGTGAAGGTCAGTATGGATGGTGCTCCCTATCTTAGGAAGGTTGATCTAAGAACTTATACAGCATATCAGGAACTTTCTTCTGCCCTTGAGAAGATGTTCAGCTGTTTTACCCTAGGTGAGCCATTGATTTACTTTAACAGTAAAATTTTGTTTTTGCCAATGATTTCTTTTTATACTGAAATAATTGGTAATTGTGTAATGGCAGGTCAGTGTGGTTCCCATGGAGCTCCAGGTAGAGAAATGTTGAGTGAGAGCAAGCTAAGGGACCTTTTGCATGGTTCAGAATATGTTCTCACCTATGAAGATAAAGATGGAGACTGGATGCTTGTAGGGGATGTACCATGGGAGTAAGATTTTTATTAAATTTTCTGTGTGCTTTTTGCATCTTTGTTTTCTCATTATACTTTTTCAAGTCACAGTAACTAACTGGTGAGGCCTAGGCCACCCCTTGTAAAATTGGGGGTAATTTACCCTCAATGACATATACCAATGAAATTTTACTATATAAAATTAATTTTTAAAATCACATATTAACCCAAAACTTTAAAATATTGGGTCTATGCCTTTTCTCACTTAAAAAAAGTTCAATATACGCTTTTCCATCCAATGTGAGAATCATTACTCACACTTGACATACCAACATATATGACAAATTTTGATTGATACAAGTCATCAGGGGTTAATTACCCTTAAATTTACAAGGGGTAGCCAAGAATTTATCTAACTATATTTAGTTGAGTTCAAGGAGTAAATGCTTTAGCAAATACTTAGTCTAAAAACGTAAGTAATCATAATTGACCTGAAAAACATTTAATATATTTCCATATGCGCCTAGAATCAATTAATTTCAAAATTGAATCAATTAATTTCAAAATCAATACTCCGAAATTAATAGTAGGTCATATTGGCCACTAGTTTTAGACATTATTAAGTCTAGAATGAGGAGATTATGATAATGTTATATATAGATGGAGTCCTGCTTCAAACTCCATATTTTTGTGGTCGAGTTGTTTTCTACCTAAATTAAGTTGCAGATTCGTTTGTCTGTGCGACCTAGTGGTGAAGGCTTGAGTCTTGAGAGTATGCTCCTCTCAAGGTCTCAGGTTCGATTACCTCATTTTGAATCTGGGCAAGAGAAAATTGGGAATTTTGCAAATCCCACTCCCTCAACTTTTCTGCCACAAAAAGATTTCGTCTTATCTCCTCCATTAAATGTAATTCACCCTTATTTCTCCAAAACCAATGAGTGACTTCCACCTCATCTTCCTCCCTTCCCCGTAAACCGGCGCCCCCTCAAAAATCACATTTCCTCTTATCTCCTCCATTAAATGTAATGCACCCTTATTTCTCCAAAACCAATGTGACTTCCACCTCATCTTCCTCCCTTCCCCGTAAACCGGCGCTCTCAAAAATCGCACCAGCCCCAACGGCCGGCGCCTCTCAAAAATCGCACCAGCCCCAACGGCCGGCGCCCTCAAAGACCGCACCAGCCCCAACGGCCGGCGCCCTCAAAAATCACGCCAGCCCCAACGGCTAGCTCTTCAAACTGAAATGGATTATGTTATGATTTTTTTTATAATTATTTTGCTCTCATTCTTGTTAGGATGTGAATCATGGGGTTGGTTTTCATCATCAGATAGTCAATCTAGCGAGAGGTTTTATAAAAATGAAAATTTTAGAGGTTCAAGTGCTGAATTCTCAATTGAGTCTTTCAATGACCCAAAAGGAATAAAGTTAGTAGAGCATGCTAAGAATAAGATGGTTGGATCAAATACTTGTTGGCAAAATGCTTATCAACATCTTCTTGCGGGATGTAATGAGATTTTGTCTACAGAAGTTAAAAGATCTAGATTAGCTTGGCATTTAAGTGATTGTTTTCAAAGAGATTCTGGAAGAGCTTCATTTCCCCATTATGACTCAAAAACATCAATTGTTACATGTTTAAGAAACTTGGATAACCTTGCTAATAAGGTTTATCTTGAATTTTACCTTGAAACCAACTCCATTTACCATCAGTTACAGTTAAGTGATGCTTCTTTTCCAATCTCTAAACTGCAATCATTTTTTGTGCGCAGAATGTTCATTGATACTTGCAGAAGGCTGAAAATCATGAAGGGTTCTGATGCCATTGGCTTAGGTATGTATTCTCCTTGATGAATTCATTTGACTTTCACCACAATTAATATAAAATGTTGGAAATATGGCCATTAATTAGAAGCTAGCAATAAATTAAACTTCATTCATCCATCTTTTTCATGCATTTTAAGGTCCATTAGTTTTTCCCTATGTTTGTATCTCTACTTTCAAGCAATAATTGTTTCTGGGAATTAGTGTGTAGTTGATTAAGTTATGCTGTAACACATATCCGTGTTTGTGTCTGTAAATATCTGTGTGCTATTGCATTTGTGAACAAGCCACAAAATTTTAACAAGTGAGTTCCTAAAGCGAGTTTAGAATGTTCTTTTCCTATCTGTCTCCTTTATTTCCTTCGGGGATGACTAACATAAATTGATGGATCAGGATTATCTTCTGCGCATTAGTTGAGATAACCATCTTAAGAACTAAAACCAACAACAGATTATGAACCTGGATATGTTAGAATGAAATCACTATATGTAGTCTGTTTCTGGATAAACTTTATGCCTAGACAACTGTATATGTTATGGTGTTCTTCCAACATTACTTAGGAATATTAATGCAAATCTGTGAACTTATTATACACGTAATTGAGCATGTGTAAATTATATGTATTTTCATGTAACTCCAGTATATCTGCCTCTCTGCTCAATTATATTTTCTTTCCTCCACAGCTCCCAGGGCAATGGAAAAGTCTAAAAGCAGGAGTTAGAGGGTGTCTAGGGCGCCTTTGATCAACCTACTTTTACTGCTTGAACCAAGGACTGTAAAAAGCAAAGGATTATGACTAATTCCCTGGCATTAGCAGTTAAACGGATTTCAAGTGTTATTTATTGTTACGTCCCTGAAAAGTTTGTTATATTTGTTACCACTATAATATCTTGTGAAGTTGCCTTTTAATATTAATTTTTGTGGAGTTTGTATCATTATAGGGAAAACCTGTTTTGTTTGGATTAATTGAATGTCTGTTACAGCCAACATCGGTACTAACATTGTTAGGAGGCTCCCACTCTTTTCTTCCTAATCATGAACAACATTTGTTCGTGTATCGCATTTTTAATCGAATCGTTTCTGCAGTAGGTAGGCTAAGAGTTTCTCCAGTTGCATGAAAAGAGAAATTTCATATATTTTTAATGTGAATTGATTCAAATTGTGGGCTTTGTTTTCTATTAATTCTTTCCTTTTGTCATCTTTACAAACAATATGGGGAACATGATTATAAATACAAAGAGATCACGTTAGATATATTTATATCTCATAAATAAGGTATATAACACGTGTTTCAACATCCTAAGCAATCCTTTGGATTTGTAATCCATTGATGGGTTTCAACATCCTAAGCAATCCTTTGGATTTGTAATCCATTGATGGAGAGTATTAGATATATTAAGTGGCTTTATTATTCCAATTGTATTTTTTTTGTTATTGGATTTTCAGTTAGGAATCTGTTAGCATCGGTGGAGTTAGTTTAGAAGTTTCTTATAATTGGTCTATTTGTAAAGTGGTATATATGAACCTTATCTCCTTTTAGAAATTGTAAGAAGAAAAATACAGTTTCTACACAGAGTGTAGTTTTTGGAATGCAAAGCATTATTTGAATTTTAATATGGTATCATCGTGATCGATCCATCCTCCTTTCGCTCGTTTCTCCTCTCTTCTCGGTGGTTCCTCATTGAGTTTCACAGAAACTCTATTTCTTGTTCTTCGTCCCTATCCTTCTGCAACCATGGCGACTGATAATTAAGAACCACATGCCTCAGTCACATCCTTCTCCGCTGGTAACAATGGCTTTGGACCTCGACTCTCCATCAAACTCCAGGAGAATAATTTTCTTCTTTGGAATCAGCAGGTTGAAGGAATCATCTTATCTCATAAACTTCATAAATTTGTAGCGAATCTGCAGATTCCTCCAATTTTTAATTCTAAAGAAAATCGCATCGCTAACAAAGTTTCTGCTGCGTACGAATCTTGGATTGTGCAAGATCAAGCACTGTTCTCATGGCTTCTTTCGACGATTTCAGAATCTGTACTTCCAAAAGTTCTTTCCTGCAAACATTCGTATCAGATTTGGGATCAAATCCACAAGCACTTCAATGTTGTGATGAAAGCTAGGGTTCACCAGCTACGCTATGAGCTAAAAACCACCAAGAAAGGGAATATGTCAATTTTTGAATATGTTCTACGAATTAGGGCTATTGCTGATGCGCTGCTTGCCATTGGGGATCCAATCTCAGACAGAGATCAGATTGATGCCATTCTACAAGGGCTTCTAGAGGAGTACAATCCATTTGTCATGATGACTTATGGCAAAGGTCAAATTTCTTCCATTTATGATGTTGAAGCTCTCTTGTATGTCCAGGAAGCACAACTTGACAAGTATCGTCAAGAGCTTGCGCTTACCACGACCACTGCAAATCTTGCATATAATGAAGATCAAGCAAGTTCTAGGTCCACCAGAGGTGGCTTTCAGCAATCAAGGGGTCGTGGTTCTGGCTCCAGGGGTCGTGGTCGCACCAAGGCACGCAGTACCTACACTCAAGGAAATCGTCCAACGTGCCAACTCTGTGGAAAGTATGGCCATGATGTGATCGATTGCTGCACAGGTATGATGAAAATTTTGAACTTGTGGTGCCTAAGGTTAATCAAAAGAACAACAAAAGAATGAATCCTCCAGCTTTGCACAAGCTTCTGCATTCCTAGCACATCAAGAGGATTTCAACATTCCAACAAATCTTGAATCACAGGCTTGATTCGCGGATTCAGGTGCATCCCATCATATCACCTATAGAAACTATCATATTAAACATACAAAACCATATTGTGGCAATAATGAAGTCATTATAGAAAATGGTAAAGGTCTTAAAATTGAATCTGTAGGATTATCTCATATTAAGCCTAAGAATGCATCCAATTATCTGCTGAGTCTGAATGATATGCTTCATGTTCCTAGCATAACTCGAAATTTGTTATCTGTCTCTAAATTTGCTAAAGATAACAAGGTCTTCTTTGAGTTCCACTCTAACAGATGTTTTGTCAAATCTCAGGCATCTAAGGAAGTGCTCTTAGAAGGCTCCCTTGATGCTGGAGGATTATACTACTTTCCCAATCTCACCTTGGAGGCTTCTGTGCCACCTGCAGCAAATTCAACTTGTATTTCTTCTGATAAGTTTTCAAAATCTTTAGATTCAATGTCCAATAAATTTTCTCTATGGCATCATAGGCTGGGCCATGCTAATTCTGTAGCTGTTAAAACTGTTCTCAAAATTTGTAATATCTCTTTGAGCAATAAAGATAATGCTGAATTTTGTAATTCATGTTGTATAGGTAAGTCTCATAGAATATTTGCTCCTTTAACTTCTACTGTGTATTATGCCCCTTTTGAATTAATTCACACTGATTTATGGGGGCCCTCACCAAATCCTTCTAGCCAAGGCTTTTCATATTATATAGCATTTGTAGATGTGTATACTAAGTATACTTGGGTGTACTTTCTCAAACATAAGTCAGATGCCCTTAAAAGTTTTAGACAGTTTCTTGCCTTTGTCAAAACACAATTTCATACCACTATTAAAGCTATTCAGTCTGACTTTGGTGGTGAGTACATGCCCTTTACTAACCTTCTTAATGATCTTGGCATTTTTCATAGACTGACATGTCCACATACCTCTCATCAAAATGGTACAGTTGAAAGGAAACATAGAAACATAGTAGAAATGGGGTTAACTTTACTTGCTCATGCTAATCTTCCCATAAAATATTGGGATCATGCCTTTACAGCAGCTGTCTATCTGATTAATAGACTCCCCACTCATATACTTCCTAAATTCATTTCCCCTTTTCAGGCTCTGTTTAACAAAATTCCCGACTATTCAACTCTTAAGAGTTTTTGGTTGTTCTTGCTTTCCTCATTTGAGACCCTATAATAAAAATAAACTTCAATTAAGAAGCTCTGAGTGTGTGTATCTTGGAATTTCTCCACAACATAAGGGATATAAATGTCTTAGCAAAGAAGGTAGGATTTATGTTTTCAAGGATGTCATTTTCAATGAAAAAGTCTTCCCTTTTCTAACATTAAATGATCAACTTCAATCTGTCAAAACAAGACCCACTAAGTCTATCCCTTTACTTATACAAAGCAGTACTTTTCCTGCTCCCTGTGATACCTCTATATCCAATGGTAGCAGTACTACTCAACATGTTCTGTCTTTGAATAACACATCTCAACACTCTCTTCAAAATCAGTCTATGACCATTGAACATAACCATGCTCCTTCTAATAATCAAATTTCCTCCTCCTCTCAGGATGAACTTTTAGATATAAACAATGAGTCCTCTCAGAGTATTTCTTTTCACTCTCAACCTATACAAGATACACCAAATAGTTATACTCATAACACTGAATTGACTCATCAAAACTCTTTACATCAGGAGTCTAGTCCATTCCTGGCTGCTGTTATTCCAGATAATCATCCTTCTCCTGCTTTAGTTACTAACAATCATTCTATGGTCACTAGAAGAAAAACAGGTAAACTTAAACCCAAAGTCTTCCTTGCTCACTGTGAACCAGTCACCTAGAAACAAGCTTTAGCTGAACCAAAATGGTTTGAGGCTATGAAACATGAATTTGATGCACTCCTGGCCAAAAAAACTTGGACACTTACTCCTTTACCTTCACACAGAAAACCCATAGGCTGTAAGTGGGTGTTTAAACTGAAGGAAAACTCTGATGGCACCATCAACAAACACAAATCCATATTGGTTGCCAAAGGCTTCAATCAACAATATGGCCTTGACTTTCATGAAACCTTCAGTCCAGTTGTTAAACCAGCTACTATCAAAGTTATTCTAACCATAACATTAACCCATAAGTGGGAAATACAACAGATAGACATAAACAATGCCTTCTTAAATGGTGCTCTTTAGGAAGAAATATATATGCAACAACCACCTGGATTTGAGAATGAGAACAAAACTCTGGTATGCAAGTTAAATAGAGCCTTATATGGGCTCAAGCAGGCGCCCAGATCCTGGTATGAGAAATTACACCAGACACTGTTCCATTTTGGTTTTGTGGAAAGAAAATGTGATCACTGATTGTTCATTTACAATCATCAAGGAATTAGTATTTATGCCTTGGTTTATGTGGATGACATCTTAGTTACAGGTTCATCCTCTCACCTGGTTCACAAGCTGCATCATCAGTTTGCTCTGAAGAAGCTTGGTAAGCCTGAATATTTCTTAGGTTTGGAAGTGCATTATCAAAGCAATGGCTCACTGGTTCCCACTCAAACAAAATATATCAGAGATCTCCTTTATAGAGTCAATATAGACACAACTAATAGAGTGGGAGCACCAATTCTTAGTCATTTCAAACCTGGTAAGTATGGTACTGATTTCATGGAGGAACCATTACTATATAAATCAATTGTAGGATCTTTGCAGTATGTTACTTTAGCAAGACCTGACATAGCATACTGTGTCAGCAAAGCCTGCCAATTCATGGCTTCTTCCTTACACAGTCACTGGAGTATGGTAAAGAGAATACTCAAGTACTTGAGTGGTAATGCCAAAATGGGGTTGCTCATGTCTCATGCTACCCCTGATCAACCATTATCTCTAAGAGCATACAATGATTATGACTGGGCCAATGATCCAGATGATAGAAGATCAACTTCTGATACTTGCATCTTCATTGGACCTAATCTCATCTCA